TACGTCAGAAGGGGTCGTGACGGAAAAATCTTATACTTTTTCTCGCCTAGCCCCGAACTTCATTCCAAAAATTGCGATATAAACGAAGCATGACTACGGTAAAATCCCCCTATGAGGCAATTTATGTGGGAGACCTATTCTGCATTATCATGCGAGTGTGAATTATAAGTCTAGCAACAACTATGAATCAGAATTGGGTTATTTACTTTTTACTCTTTACATTTATTTAGTAACATAGGTGTATCAATTACTCACCTGAAAAACGAGACTTCGAATGAGAAAAAGTTGGGTTATGATGAAGAAACAAAGCAATAATTTTTTTGGAAAAAAAACGTAATAGAAAAATGTTTAGTAGAAACTATACATGTAAAGCAAATAAAATGGAATAAATAAAGAATGATACTGAAAACTTTTACCATAGAAAAATTAATACGGTTTAATTAGTTTTACTTCGAGTTTTCAAAGTATAACAGAACGTGGAACGCTACAGTTATGCTGGCTATACACAGATGCAGTACGAATGGGTAGGCTCGACTGCGGTAGTTCTACGCTCTCACATAAAACCAGCGGGAAACAGCCGGATAATGCAGCTGTGTTTCGTATGGCGAGTGTAGAGAAACGAAGATCATTTTTACTGGAAACGGGACTATCCATCTTAGTCCCCAGGAGTGAAACGGATCGGGATTTTGATTTTTAGTAGAGGTTAGATGTAGTTGTCTATGTGCCACGGCATTCACTTACCATCAGGTGAGATGTGTACCAGTTTGTCACTCTGATTCTACAAAAAAAAACAAAGGCAGTCATAAGCACTGCCGACAGAAGTGAAAAGTCAATAATATATGCGTATACTGGCCGCTATACTACATTACGCTGGTCTGGCGCAAGCGTAATACGTCACGAGCATGTCGAGGTTATCGGTGATGCGAAACCATAAGTTTTTCCCCTACCGAAAATCGCTCAACGCGGCTATTGAAGTTTTTACGTCAAAATCTTCAAAATTATACTTGTTGGCTGCCTCATCCTTGAAAACGCCGTTATCCACCAGTAGACTTAAAAATACCATTATTATTGTTTTGTAACAGCTATTAAGATACTAATGACCTATAACGGCAAAAGAAGTTTGCAAATGATATTCTTTTTCATAAAGTTTACGTTCTTAATGTACCATTAGAATATACAATACGGTTTTGTTATTTTTTATTCGCCACGAAATAAGCACGGATACATATTACTGTTTTTTTTTTAATTATTTTTATAGAATAAATGTCCTGGAGACCGAATTTCCAGCCAGTCTCAACGGAGACTAACCATCTCTGCACAGGGCAGAATTACGAGTGTATGCGCAAGCACAGGATCATCACTAAACCAATAGTATTTGAGCACTCTATCCCCTCAATCTTATAGTCTGACGGGACGGTAATACGACACGATTGGAGAGAGATCAGGTGCAAGAAGACTTTACGTACTTTCCGAGGTACAGGGGTGAAACACCACCAAATTCCTGAATTCGGACTGCAACTGAAAACTTCTTGTAAGGAAAACCCAATAACAGATTTTCTGCCAAACCCGGGATTCAAATCCGGGATCTCATGATCAGCAACAACGTTAACAACCACTAGTCCAAGACGTAGTCATTTTTTTTGACTGATTTTTATAGATATGTGGTTGTTTAATGACCATACAGTTCACCTGATGGTAAGTGGATGCTATGCCCCATAGATACCAATGTCTATCCTCAATGGACATTGCTGAAAACCAACACTACCGCAACCTCGCTACGTTGAGTCAGTGCCCTTTGCATCACATCACTCATGCAATCGGATAATTTTATATATGTTCTTTTATTTATTTTTATCTTTGACCGTATGCGTGTAAGTTGCTGAATACATTCATGTCTTTTTTTAAATTTTAAAACAACGTTACCCCCACACTAGGATTTTCTCCTGTATCGTGGAGGCAGTTTACAAACACAAATTGCACATGGACAACCATTCAGACCCGGAACAATTATTTGTAGGCCATACAAATACTTGTTCCGTGCGGGATTCGAACCCGCGGCCCACAGCGCAGCAACTCATTGCTAAGCCACTGTGCACGGAGCCGTCAAATTCTAAAGTCTATGTCTATTTTAAGTCTATTGAGCCGTGATAGCTCAGATGGTTAGTGCTCGCTGTAAATCTCACAGTACACGAGCAACCCGGGTTCGATCCCCGCCGGCACCAATGAAATTGTTAATTGCAATTTTAAGTGTCGTTTTACCACGTGCTCGGTGGTGAAGGAAAACATAGTGAGAATTTTTGAAAATTTTTATGAAAATTTTTTAAATAAATATTTTTGTTTACGCGGATTTTAGCGAAGTATTTTTTTTAAAAGCTTTAGTATGCTTACTAAATTAATAAGTCATTGAATCGACAGGCAACGTGGCACTCTAGTTACAAGTAAAAGAGGATTTTGGTTCTCGTAACTTACCATACGAGAAGCACTGCTGTTTATAATGGGTCAGTTCGGCTCGACCGGGGAAGGACTACGCTCTCATAGTAAAATAGCAGCGTAACGCTGCTGTGTTTCGTATGGTGTGTGTAGAGAACCGTAGACCCATTTTACTGGAAACGAGGCATTCCATCTTAGTCCTCAGTGGTGACAACGCATCTGCATTTTTACTCTTAATTGAGGATAGATGTAGATGTCCATGGGTCACAGCAACCACTTATTATTAGGTGGACTGTGTGCTCGTTTGTCTCCTTATTCTATTAAAAAAAAATAGTTTTCAGTATAAAAAAAATGCAGAAATCATGACCTAGAATGGTTATAAAGTACTTCACCTTGATTTACTCGGTCTTTCCACCGTGCAAAAGCTCGAGGAAATTATTTTGTTATGAACCTTGATCTCAATTGATAAATATTTATAATTATTAATAAATATAACGTGTTTTAAAAAAAGGTTAACCTTTTATAATTACGAACTGTAAAATTGTTATTTCAAATCGATGACTAACAAAAATTGACTATTATTAATCCTTTCTTCCTATTTTTATTTTTAAATTGTTGAACAGTCTCGGATTGAGTACGATTAAATCTAGTCCAGTTTAACCGATAGAAGACACAGGTTACCGCTAAAAATAAACCCTTTTTCGCAGATAATCACGGTCTTGAGCCACCTTGCAGCCATTGAATTCCTGCATGTCTTACCAGGTCCCCACGCCATCTAGTGGGAGATCGCTCTACACTTCGCCTACCGGTATGAGGCTGCCACTACAGCTTACTAATCCGTTGTATCAGTCACTCTAGTTCTACTGCGGATATCCTCATTTTTACGTTTATCATGCGAAGAAACCCCGAGCATAGCCCTCTCCATAGCTTACTTAGCGATCTTGAGCGTCGTCATACGGCCAGCAATGAAGCACCACGTCTCAGATCCATAAGTCATCACTGGTAAGACGCACTGATTGTACATTCTCGTTTTCAGGTTTTGAGGTATACCAGACGAGAAGATGTGTCGTATTTTCCCGAACGCCGTCCAGGCGAGTTGAATCCGTCGATTGACCTCTCAGTCGAAGTTAGACTTACGTAGTCGGACTATTTGTTTTTAACTTCGAGCTTAAATGCTCTCAACAACTACCGGCATAAGTGTGACATGGACATTACACATGATCTTTCTTCTCTTGTTAGATATAATTTAGAGTACGCACCACAAATCTGGAATCGCAGGTATGTAACATACATTACACCTCTTGAAAATATTCAAAGAAAATTTATCCGTTACCTTTGATATAGTGTCAAAGATTATCGCTATATTTCTGACTAGCTGTTCCCCGCGACTTCGCCCGCGTGTTTTTTGGGGTTTTAATTTTTTTGCGCGGAACCCTAATTCATTTTCTAAAATAAAAGTAGTTACTCCTTGCGACATCAGCTATCTGCCAGTGAAAATTCCGTCAAAATCGGTCCAGCCGTTTCGGAGATTAGCGGGAACAAACAGACAGACAGACGAACAGACAGACAGTGAGACAAAAACTTAAAAAATTGTATTTTTGTTATTAGTACCGTATATACTTTCATATGTATTTCATCATATCAAAAAGCTGTAATTTGGACATTACAAACAGCCACTTCAATTTTATTTATTTGTATAGATAATTATATTTTTTACTTTTAAATAAAACTATTTTTTACGGATTTTATCGCGTATGTTAACTTATTTTATATTCCCAACGTTTCGAGCACGTTCCAATGTCATAATTAACCACGGCTATTTCCAGATTTAAATTGTTAATTTTTGTTCTTATACGTGGTAGAGCCATACTTCAACTATATTAGTAGTATATTTGTAGCACGAATGGGTCGACTCGACCGTTAGCAAGAGGAAAGTGATGTTTTTTCTACCGACTTCAAAAAGGAGCCGGTACTCAATTCGTCTGTAGGTTTTTTTATATATGTTACCTCATTACTTTTTACAGGGTGAACCGATTTCGATGATTTGAAAGCTGGTGCTTCTCATGTGGTCCCATATGAATTGATAAAGGTCTGATCAATAGTTTTTGAGTTATTTTTAATAATTTATAGTCGGTTGTACAAAATTTTTAATTTTAAATTATGTGTTCTTAAAATGCCTCTAGTAAAACCACATTGCACTTATACGATAATATGAGTAGCCGTATATCAAGAAAACACAAATTAATCCATCTTATATTTTCTAAAAAATAATTTTATATTGCTACTTTGAAAATAAAAATTACATGGGCGACCGAATGTTGATTTTGTATGTGGTCACGATAATATCCCGAAAAATATGACGTATCGAGACCGTATTTTTTTATTAGCTTCAGTATCACGTCAACTGATTTCCTATTTCATATGGCTATGGAATACTAGGCTAATGCGTAGTTTGTTAATAAAATGATTTTCAACTGTTATAAGTTTTATTGCTATTAAAAATTTAAAGTCACTGTCATTTATTTTTGTCATATACAGCCTATATAGATTTTATACTTTGTGTAATCGATTTATTTTGGTAAACATTTTTTTCCTGTAAACGGGTACACTATCTGTTAAAATATTTTTTTTATATTTATTTATTTATTTATTTATTTCGACCAGCAAGGATCATAGGGTAATATTACATTCATTCAAGTTAATTCTAATACTAAAATTATTACTCATTACTAAAATTAATACATCAAATGCATAAGTATTCATAATAATATTGAAAATATAATAATCATTTAATATTAACAAAATAATATAAATCAATGTAAACGTAACTCATAACAGACTCGACTTAATAATATATTAACAAAATCATAAACATAACTTATATTAATGATATAATAATAATAATTAATCATTTATTGCAGACGATAATTTGTTAAAAGTAGATAGTAAAATTAAATAAAAATTACTTCATATATCTGGGTTGCCTGTCCGAGGCAACGGACACATGAACATGCATCTAGTGCCCCAAAAAAGTACAATCGTGTTTCTCGCTAATTACGTTAAGAATGCTGTTGGCGCTCCCACGAACCTTGTGCATCAGTGACGCAGTTTTTTTGCGAATCAGTGTTGAAAAATTGTCTATGTGGGCGTCAACAAACATACCTGATGCACTACAGTAACGTGGGAGCCCCAGCAACAATCTAAAAGCGTTATTATAATGTATACGTAGGGTGTTGTATGCCCGCTGCGTAAATCTGACCCATAAGCCGCACGTATAGAGGGATTGGCAATAGGCCTTAAATAAAATAAGTTTTACCTCGACTGTACAACGTGAGAACCGGCGGGCCAGCCAGCGGACAGCCAGCGCCCTCCTTTCTCTTTTAATATCCTTATAATCTTTTAAATCTTCGGTAACCACATGGCCGAGGTACTTAAATTCGGTTACTCGTTTAAGTGCAACACCCCCTAAAGTTACAGGTGGTACGAAATTAGGTTTCTTCGTGTCCACCTTAAACACCATGGGCTCACTCTTTGCAACATTATATTTTAAACCGTGGGCTTCTGCATAAACCTCACATATGATCAAAAGCCGTCTGAGTGCACTGACTGAAGGGCTCAGAAGCACCATGTCGTCTGCGTAACTGATATTGTTCATGCAGAGTCCATCAATAGAGCAGCCGACTACACTCCCGAGTCTATGAATCAGTTCATTTATATATAGATTAAAAAGCGTAGGTCAGGTTAACCCCCCTTGCCTCACACCGCATTTTAACCTATACTCGTCCGACAGTGCATGAGACCACCTGACCTGATTAATTTGATGACCGTACCAATAGCTAAAAATGCTAATGTACGAGACGGGTAGACCAGCCTTTTGCAATTTATCCCACAGAATGTCATACCTAACAAGATCGAAAGTCTTTGAAAGATCCAGGAAGGCCGCATACACTGGCGTATTCCTTACAGTGTAATACCCCACAATGTGCTTCAGCGACAGTATTGCACTCTCAGTGGATAGATTTGGTCTAAAACCAAATTATGCATAGTTTAACTTAATATGTACTTTTAACTGTCTCTCAAGCACACTGTCAAGTATCTTAGCCGCAGTTGTCGCTAATGAAATGGGCCGATAGTTGCAAATAGGGCAAATAAGAGTGCCTCATGCAGAGGGTGAAAAAGAGCGCCAACAGTCTAGGTAAGTGCGGTCCAGCGTGTTGAAAGTGCTCGATGCTAAGCCAATCGTGACCGGGTGACTTTCCTCCAGTCATACCATTTACCAAAACAGTGATGTCCCTAGCGGTGATGCGATCGGGTACATAAGTTGGTGCACCAGTCTGGTGATGAATCTCAGCATCGACTTCAATAGGTGACTGTAAAGAAGACTGAACCCAGAACTGACTCTTAAAAAGATTGGCTATTTTCGCCGGCTCATTCACACCCCTAACGCTCACCGGGGTACCTGTTCTAGGACTCAACTGCTTAGTATGCTTCCAAAACCCACGAAAATCTTTATTCCTATGTTGATACGCTAGTTTATTCATCTTGATTTGGTCCTGATTATTTTGACAAAACTTAAGTTTTCGTTTAAATACCCTTTTAGATTCCATCATATCATTATAAAAATACCCACCACGCGGTTTCCCATGCCAGATTCACTTTAGGAATTTTTGTCGAGCATCCCGGTGAGCATCACGCACGTGCCAGTTCCATCCCAGTATAGGTCGACCACGCTTTCTGGCTATATGCCGGTCGCGATCACTGTCGTAACTGTACTTAGAGGCCTCACACAAAATATTAATAATGAATATATATAATTTATCTATCACATATCGATGTGCTAAAATATTACACATATTATCACAACACTGACTTATTTAAATAAAACTAATTTTACGGATTTTATCGCGTATATTAACTTATTTTACTTTCCCGACGTTTCAAGCACTTTACAGCACCCATGGTCACGGGGGGGACGTCGGGAAAGTAAAATAAGTTAATATACGCGATAAAATCCGTAAAATTAGTTTTATTTAAATGTGTAGTGTTCGCGTAAATATAAGAAATCATAACACTGACTTAGTTCATACGGGAAATCGATTTCTCTTAATTTATTGTTACAGTATTTGCCATATATGTAAATTTGGTTCAAATTACGCTCACCCCATTTTACTTTATTGATTATATATTCCTGAACCGACAGTGGTCTACGCCTAACCATTGTGAGGTCACACTGCACTTCTAATGGAAAGTGGTCTGACCAATAAACGTCATTATGAATTTTAATTGTGACTACTGACTTCCATGCAGCCTGAGTTGTTAAACAGTGGTCAAGCCAACGACAACTACCGTGTACATCACTCATAAAGGTATAAGAACTTGAGTCAATTCCTAACGTCATAATATCGGCTGTAAACCAATTTTGTTCTAGATAAAATTCTAACATTTCCTTACCAAACAACGTACCTGGGTGAGCATTAAAGTCTCCTAATACATACATAGTTTCAATATTCTCATTATCAACTATTGTAGATATTTCACTTAAACACTCAACAAATTCTACCAGATTGTCTTGGTCGTCCGTAGGCATATACACATTAAAAAATAACATAAACCTATCAGAAACACATACTTTAATAGCAATAATACGCTCGCTCATACACGGAACCACAGATACAGAGTCAAACACGTTGTTTCTCCATAGTAAGCCAACACCGCCATAAGGCCGTCCTCGCAATATTCCTTTGCTTGTATCAACCGCAGACTTCCCGAAGAAACAAAAATCCTTATTTACTTGTCCCAAGTCAGGAATCTCATGGGGCAGGAGCCATGTCTCCTGGAGTTCAATTATGTCCGCCCTTTCACTCAAAGACTTTACGAAGTCTGCTGATCTTTTAAAAGATTTACAATTAAAACTTATCAACTTGATTGTTGTGTTATCCCTAGCATCATTATTCACCATTTTTTTTAATAAAGATAAGTTACTCGACTTACATTCATTAAGATTACTCGGCTTATTGAAGCTAATAAATCTGCGGAAAGATACTCCAGTGGGCCATAGATTTTCATCCATAAACACATGTAATTTATCCTTTGGAATCATAAATTTGTAAGCTCCATAACCCTTTTTGAATTTCATATTTACTTTCTCTGGTCGAACGTCAGTGTTAGTTTTACATTTAATATAATTCATTATGTCATCAGTCTCGCAGCTGTTATCAACGTTGTAAATATAAAACGGGATTTTTATATTTGCTGCTTTAAATTTGCAGTCTCCGTGCATATCAGCCTTGCTTTTTAAACCAATAAACTTGCATTTTACGCGCTTGTTTCGCACTAAGGTCCAATCGTCTTTTCCAAGTTCATCATCTAAGTAATCATGATTATCGCCCGCCCCCTTATTACAAACTTGTTCAATTACTAGGTTATTCGATGAAACTCCAGTGGCCTCCTTGTAAGATAAGGGGGTGTGGTTAGTCTGCATTTCCGCCGACATAACCGTGGTGCGGGTTTTAATTCACACTGGCTGTGATGAAGGTTGCATATCTTCAATACTAGCCTTACCATAAGATTGCATTAAAACAGATAGGGGCGGGTCAGTGTTATGATCTTCTGTCGACGTTGCAAGCGAGTCAGAAATACATGTATGAGTCAATAACATATTATTGACTTTAGGATAACAGTTAGATTTCTTAGCGGTTGTTAAATCATCATATTCAAATTGATTTGGTAAAATATCAGGTATACCACAAGGATCACTCGCACAATCTAAACTGGGTTTGCTACATATTCCCCTTCGTTTTGTATTAACATTGTAGTTTGTCATGGGTAATTTATTATTTAGCATATCCTTTGTAGCATAGGTTTCCTTAATAATTGAAATGTCATTCTGCAACCTAATTATATCTTTTAAGAGTCTAGTCGCGTTGATGTGATCAAATGTGATTGGCGGAAGACGTTGTGAATTTCTTGCTACAAAGATAGGTAAAAGCTCAGGGTCCGACTCTTTTATAGCACAAATAATATCCGTGATTTCTCGCTTACTTTTGCCGTCTCCTTTTCTAATTCTATTGTGGTTATTCATTTTCAAGGACTCAAAAAGTAATTTCTTAGCCTCTGTGATTTCATTACTTGAAAATGCCGTATTGCACAGACGAGTAATACTATCTTCGTCCATCACATCTGCTTTATTTTGTACAAAAGCCAGTAACTCATATATTACAATATTACAATTGCTACATTTCACGGTATTCACAGCCATATTTTATAAATATAAACCAATTTTATAAATTAATTTATAAAAATAATAGAGCGCTATGTTTAATTCATGTGAATAATATATTTTAAAAATCTGGAATACAATTTATTTTTTTTATCAAAATTAAGGCAGGGTGTTCCTGTCCGTTTTAAAATTGGTTTTTGATAGGCAAATTATTACATTTGGATTTTCCGAACTTATTACCTTTTATCTTAATTAATATATCTGTTGTCTTCCAAAAAAAAAGGAACCCCATGATGTTCCACCTTCGCCGCATATGAGCAGGGTCATGGGAACGCATTCGAACACATCCGCGGCCTCACCAGCGCTGGCCGCCCATGGCAGCTCCCCCTCGGGGGAGGACTTCTCTTCCCCATTCTTCTTCTCTGGCATGGCGCATCAGGAACACAAGACAAGCCTTCCTCCATGGCTCGCCAAGCCCACTTTGAGTGGCCACCTCGGGGCGGCCCTACACCACGAGCCAGCCAAGAGGTTCTTCTTTGTTCACCGCGGGTGGCCAAGCCACGGCTACTAAGCCCTCCTCCACGTACAAGGCGGGAACCCGTTCGTGGGGGAGGTTAACACACGTCTAGCCTACCGTGTAGTGGCTGTGTAGGAATATCCACTACTCCATATCATCCCGTGGGTGTCGTAAGAGGCTACAGACGGAAATAAATCAGGAGATGGGCAGCAGTTCCTTCTCAATAAGGACTAAAAACCTGCAATGGCCAACCTGATTGCCAAGTGTGGCAGCTATAGTAAATATCCCCCCTACAAAGCAAAATTTAATAGGCATTTTTTACGTGAATGATTTTTAATTATCTTTATATGTTTTATTTATCATGTAATATGAAAATAATAGTTATTTATGTAAGATTATTTGGTTTATATATAGGTTATTTCATTTGTAATATAAGAGTTTATTTATTAATAAATTTGTAATAACTTATAAATTAAGATTTTTTTAAACTTTAATGTGATTTATACCAAATTTATCTACTTATGGTATAAATTATTAGTTTTTAAGTTATGGTCATGGCTTAGTAAAAATATTGATATAGGTTGTATAGAGTTATACAATGTGTCCCTCAGTAAAGTGCAACCTCGAAACTAGACCATAAATTATCGACAAAAAATAGACAAAAAGCAAAAAAATATATACTTTACTTTTTATTGACGAATTACGATTTTTATATCTTATGTAGTCTCTATGTATAAAAAATAACGATTTCTTCCAAAGTAGTGGGTAGATTACTTTAAAATAAAAATAAAAATTACGATATACTTAATTAGATCAATTAAGTATATTTTGATTTTATTCCTGATATAATAAAATTAACTTAATTAAATGATATTAGAACTGGGAAAAGAAGACCAATTTCAATATCTAAATTAAAAAAAGAACTGTAATTAAGAAAAAACTTCAAGAAAATGGAATTCGTGTTTTGATAATAATATTATATTATTATGATTAATAATAATTAAAATTGATATCATTAATAATAAAATGATTATTTATATTAAAAATTAATTAATTTGTTTGATTGGAAATCAAATATACTTTATATGTTATATATAAATTAATTAATTTCCTCATCAATAAATAGAAATATAAAGGAGTAATCATACTACATCCACAAAATGTCAATATCATGTTGATGTTTCAAATCCAAAGTGATGTTTGAGAAATGATTATTTAAGTGACGAAAAAAAATCATATTATTAGAAAAATTGTTCTAATAAAAAAGTTGATCCATAAATACTATTAGCAATAGTAAAATGTGCTTCAAAATATTCATATCCTTGAAGGATAGTATAATAAATTCCTAATATAATAGTAACAAATACTATTCATGATGGGCTCAAGTAACAGTTACACATGATCTAATTAAAGTAATAGTATTTAATAAAGGAATTTGAATGAGGTAATGTTTAATGGGGTTCATATAACTCCAATTTCAATATAAGGGGATAAACTTCTATAAAAAAAGCTCAAATAAAGGATAAACATAATACTTCTGTAATAATAATAAAAAAAATTATACCTCATCGTAATCATTCTCGACAAATATCTCATCATAATTGATATATAGTTATAGTAATAATTATATAACCTAAAATTATCACATTTACATTAAAATTATGAAATCATTTAATTATACCAGTAACTAAAGTTATTACTCGCTCCTGTTAAAGGTCATTGTCTATAATCTACTAAATGATATGGGTGATTATGGTTTATTATCATTAATTCACTTCTCTAGAATAAAGAGTTCAAAGAATAGAAATTACATAAGGTTGAATAATAGAAACAGCAGATTCTAAGATTAAGAATAAAATTTGTATGAAAATAAAAATAAATAATATAAAAATGATAAATTAGATCTAGTTCTTCTTAATAAAGTTAATAATAAATGTCCTGCAATTATATTGGCAGTTAAACGAACAGCTAAAGTTCCTGGACGAATAATATTATCTACTAATAGTTTCAATTAATACTATGAGTGGTATTGAAATACTTGGAGTTCCTTGAGGAATTGTATGAATAAATATATGTTGGTTAATGTATGAATAAATTATATGGTATTAATTCATCAGTATATTATAAATTTAATTCATAATGATAATGGAATTGATAATGAAATAGTTAAATGACTTTTTCTAGTAAAAGTATAAGGAAATAATCCTATTAAATTATTAAATAGGATAAACGAAAATAATGAAATAAAAATAAAGATTGATCCATTAAATCTATTAATGCCTAATAATATTGTAAATTCATTATTAACGTTCTGACTAATAAAGTTTCAAAAGATGTAAAGTGGAATAACTTGCCAGCGACTATCTTTCTGTCCGAATACAATTTGGGCATCTTCAAGGCAAGAGTGAATAGGCTTTTGTTACGCCAATGTTGGCCACTCACGGTCAGTTAAACTGATCAGTTTAACTGACGTACATCCAAAAACTGACCGTGAATGTGAAATCTTAAGTTGAAATTTTGAACTGTCGGCAACACACGGATTTTATTCGGGCGTGCTGTCAGTTAAACTGCTCCGTTGAACTGTCGTATATCCAAAAACTGACCGTGAATGTGAAATCTTAAGTTAGCATTTTTAACTGATGGCAACCCATGCATTTTTTCGGGCGCACCGTAATCCGCTGGCTTCAGTTCATTTACATTATTGGTAAGTACATACTTTCTTAGTAGCTTTTATATATATTATATAATTATTATTATAACATTATTTGTATGCTGTTAAGATTTTATATTATTTTATATACTTTTTACTAAAAAAAACAACGTTACCCTCCCCCTAGGATTTTCTCCTATATCGTGGAGGCAGTTTACAAAGACAAATTGAACAAGGACAAACATCCAGACCCGCAACAATTATTTGTAGGCCATACAAATACTTGTTCCGTGCGGAATTCGAACCCGCGCCCCCCAGCGCAGCAATTCACTGCTAAGCCACTGGGCCACGGAGCTGTCATATAAATTTAGAGAAGTTGGTTTAACAGAGGATGGAGACTAAAGTGATTGTAATGACGTCATCTTCCCTATGGTGGACTCAGAAGGTGGGTAAAGGATCTCAGTGATGCTACTACGTAGAAACATCGTGTTTGGACTCATTTTCAAATAGGTAAATGGAGACATAGATTAATGTAATGATATCACCTTTATGTTGGTGCAATCAGAAGGTGGGTATAGGATCTCAGTGACGACACTAGATAGAAAGACCGCGTTTGAACTCATTTGAAAGGGCTCATAAAGACCTAGGTGACTGTGGTGACCTCACCTTTTTGTTGGTGCAATCCGAAGGTGGGTATAGGATATCAGTGACGGCACTAGATAGAAGTATCGTGTTAGAACTCATTTGAAAGGGCTCTTAAAGACCTAGGTGACTCTTATGACCTCACCTTTCTGATGCTGCAATCCGAAGGTGGGTATAGGATCTCAGTGGCGGCACTAGGTAGAACGATCGTGTTTGAAGTCATTTGAAAGGGTTTATAAAGACCTAGTTCAATGTGATTATATTACCTTAATGATGGTGGACAAAGAAGGTGGGGTAAAAGATCTCAGTTACGCCACTACAAAACACCATTGTGTTGCGGTTGTGGGCTCATTTGAAAGGGCTCAAGAAGTAACTACACAAATAATATAAATATAATAAATAGTTGAAACAGTATTATTACTCACTTTATAATGTTTTCAGGCAATTGAAAAA